CAAACAATTCTCCCAAAGGCCAACCGCGTCGCAGCAGTCTTCCCAGGCTAGGCCAACGAGGCCAAAGTATGTCCCTCAATATTAACGGTTGTCCCGGTACTTTGAGAGAATGCTGTAAATTATTCCCCGAATTTCTCCAAACCTTGATTTTACTCACATTCTTCGACTGTCCGACTCGCAAATGTTCTGCGATCTGATCTGGCTCTTCGGGTATTGATTCAAGAGGCCTTTCATGAAGAAACTCCAGGGTCCGAAGCACAAGATTACAGGCGTGGACGGATACTTCGACTTGTGCCTATTCAGTACCTCCAATCTCGTGTCTGAACACTGGGGACCATGAACTGGTTTGATAAGCCATGCCTATCAAGGACATTTCGGCATAGCAATGAAGTACACTTACAGCATCTGAGTTTGAATCATCTTGGAGCTCATGCGACATCCTCATGTGCATGCATGATTTGACTCACATAGGCCATGTGCACAGAGTATACACACATACTGGCAAGCGCGGCCAGGAGAGAAAACGCCCCACCCACCATTAGCCAAGCCAAAGGCTTGTCTACTGTCTATTAATAGGTTCTGCAATGGGAAGCAAGAGTCGAGTAAGGGGACAAGCAGTTTCAACAAATACCTTGTCTGTCCTTCGTGGGGTTGCTGTGAGGGACGAGTGGCTGGCAGCTATGTTGATTCCATTGGCTGGAACTCAATTATCAGAATTGAGCTTACTCACTGCGAAACTAGTTGGGCCACCTGGCATTAAATAGCCTAACCCTTGTTTCACGGGTGCCTTAGTCCCGTACGGCATAAGGCAGACATCAGCTCGAATCGGTGTTTCAGCAAGAACTGTGTTCATGGAGGGTGAAAGAAGCTGGATCTACTGGACCGCCCCCTATGCACTCACACTCATCCTTGCTACAGTACGTACTAATGCATGTAATTGTGCTCCGCTTCATTGCAGTTATCACGACGAGATCTTTCACCACATCTGGTTGTTTGGGAGAAGATATCAGTAGCCTTGACGCCTGACTACCTCCAAAGATAACCAGGTATTGCCACCAAACACGTTGACAGATCTAGCGGAAACATATAGAGAGTATTCTTACTCTTCTGTTTAGCATAACGTGTAAATGCGATATACAGCATGGTAATCGGCTCGTACCGAAAGGACATTCGTGTGTGGGAAGACCTAGCTTCTGAGAGACTCGAGGTATTACTCGGGGTGGCTGGCGGAGACCATCATCCGAAGATGAGCCCTGGTGATAGTGGAAGTAATTCCAGCGGCTTGTGGCGCGAGCCTCGCCTACGATCCAGCCGGACCTAGTACCAGCGGAGCCTGCGCAACGAGCAGGTGGCGCAGGAGCTGGTCTTTGCTCCATAAGGCTCGGCTTCCCGGATCATACCCTTTGGGAAGAGATGTCTTTGGTGGCATCGTTGCATACGTGCATGCTTCTCCTCATTTCATTTCAGAGAGAAGATAGAGTTCTCTTCGTGGGTTTGAGACAAGAGGATACAGCCAAATTATGCACATGCCATAAGTCATATTTTTCAGCAGTCCTCGGCAGTCTTCCTGTAGCACTTTCAAAGATAACCCGAGACGGGATTATTGGAGGATGGGAGCATATGCCTTCGCCCATTAGCGTTTGTTGATCAGCTCAAATGAGGGTTGGGTCGTGTCATATCATTCCAATGTGGGCTTGAAATTGTGGTCACGAATGATGCTAATCTAGATCATGTACCTCATCCGAGGCCAACAGGTGAAAATGGTATGGAGCTCTGTCGCTTGGATCAAGCCAGCTGTATTAGGGATAGGGGGTCATCAGAATGTAACGAAGCCAGTAGATCAAGTCCATCTGGAATCTGTAGTCAAAGAGCAGTAAGAGATAGTCTCTCTCTCTCAAAGGGGGGCAACCCCTCCAACCCAACCCATCATCAGGTGATTCCCACAATGGCGAGTGACTTTTTTTGGCGGAGGAGGGCAGACCGGAAGTCAGACCTTCGAAACCTTCAGGTACCCAAAAGCGGCCTCGTGCAGGGCCCCATTTGGCTTTCTGTCGCATACAGCGCCAGCATGGTCCGACGCCAATAACACGAAGGGGAGCAGATGAGGCGGATTGAGTTGGCGTGTTGACGGTGCCAGCAAACGAGTTGACATCCTTTGGGCTCCCCCGCAGTGGAGCCTGTGCTGGATGGGTGCCTGACCGCCAGGCCGAAGCCTTGCGCTTGACAGGCCACTAACCGCCCGCGATCACGCGTCTTCACTATGCCTTGAATGGCATGAAGAGCTGCTGCGGCACAAGGTGCAGGTGCAGTGCTGCACCTCACCAAAACTAACAACCGCATTCCCAGCCTCGTTCTTCAATCCACCTTCTTCAACCTCCTTCTGTCCCCCCATTCTCCCCCCCCCATTGATGTCCCCGCTGTCCTCACTGCCGTCTAATGCCTCTACACCGGGCCCCATTCTAGCTCGGCCATGTTTTCCGCCCATGATCATCAGGGCCCGAGTTACTGGGGAGTGTTGATCAATGCCGATAAGAGTCCGGCCCCGCTGCTGGAACAGCTGTGCCTGGAAATTGCCCGCATCATCGTAAGTCGCGAATGGGGGGAACTTCTCCTGAGTTGCTGCGCACTATGAATCCAAGCTTATCTCCCATTGTTCGCGTGCGAAGACATCCTTCGACGACTACGCTACTGCCGACCTCACTCCAGAACGACTGGCAGCTTTTTATCGCAAGGTGGGCGGCAACTACGACGTCCTCTTTCTCCAGACCAAACCGTCCGCGCTTTCCTTCATCTACCAGCGCCTGGGATGCTTTCATAGTATTCAGCCTACCTCCGACCCTTATAAACCCCCCGCCATTCCAGCTCTTCAGCCGAATGGCTTTGTGCGATGGCAGACCATTCAGCTCCTTCTCGATCCGGACGAGCATTGCCGGTACCTTCAGAATGCGGTCGAACTGTGGGACATTGAAACTCCGAGTGGGGAGTTCTTTCCCAAACAAATTCCGCGGGAGGCTTTTCCAGACACACCAGACCCGGAAATGGTAGAATGGCACGAGTCGGTTAGTCGACGCTTCGAACTCGATTACATCAAGAGAAACATCTTGCGTGCATCTCCACCGAGCTTTGGCACCTACCATTCTCACTTCTCCAACAAAGACATACCACTCACCAGGGAAGAGACCAGCCTCCCTCCACGTCGTCGGTCGTCAACACATCGCCCTCACCTAGTCCCAGAGGAACCTTCCCCTCCCAGTAGGCACCAGAGGCGTCGCAGCGGCGAGTACCCACCGTCAGCCACCCGTCGGGTTCAGTCAACATACTTCCCCCGTGCACCAGACGTTGAGGCACCTCGCCGAGCTCCTTCATCTCCCATGTGGACCAAGTCTGCTCCCAAACCAAGAGGTCGCGATCGCACTCCGGCGTATTCCCGGCCTGTCAGTCCAAATACATTGCCTGGGAACAGTGCATCCGATGCGTCATCCGAAGATTCTGGAGGTGCAGTACGCCGCGCGTCCCCCAGCGCTAGTCGACACAATCGTCATCTGCGTCCAGACACTCCGCACCATTCTCACGCTCGCCGCCATTCGCATGAATCCTACGCCAGAAGACCCGAACGGGCATTCTCCCCGGATGATCAGCGACGATACATGCACCGGGACATGTACAATGCCAGCTCGGCCAGACCCTACGACTCTGATGGTCCCCGTCGGGCACGCTCATCGAGAATATATGCCGAGGAGCCGGTCCGCCCTCCCCGGACTCCAAGGCCAACATTCCGCGACCACGTGTTTAGCGATCCCGCAGCTGTCCCCGTCAATCATGAAGTGCCGGTATACACGCACGTGCACCCTCGATACATGAACAGGAATGGCAGCTACCCAGTCCGACCGCCTCCCCCACCCGACGTCGACATGCGTGCCGGCGATGACGGCCGACGGAGTTACAGAGGACCTCACGTCAACCCGAACGCCTCTGGTTTCAGTAACTCGGCAACTCCGGAGCGTTCCCGCTACCCCTCAGGCGGATATCGGCCTCAGAGATGGGCCAATCCGGTACAGCCATCGCCAGCCCGAGGAATACCCGTAGGAATGCCGGACATGGAATACCCTCCCAGAAGCCGACGGTCCACCATGTACGACCGGTGAACAATCCCAACAACCTTTTCTTTTCACATCTGTCAACAAGAATGATCACTCCTACTCAGAATCATCACCTCTAAGCACGACAACAAAGAATATTACCCACCTAATGAATACACGTTCCCCCAGACTACAGTACTACTGCGCTACAAAGACTAAAGAATGACACCGCGCAGAGCCATTATTGACGACAGCAAGAACGAAGCGGGGTATGGAATACATGAATGACCGGCGTTTTACTTGCTTGGGCGGTTTCCTGAATGGCCAATACCCCACATTTGATGATAATGCTACGTGCTACGATATGATATGATATGATGAACTGACGGACCCGATGGCGGTCGGCTATGTTACGATTAACGACGATACGAGTATTTTTAGAGAGTTAGACGGAGTTCTGCTGTTTCTTTCGCGGTCTCTCACTATTCTCTCTGTTGTTTTATTCTACCTTAATTGATTCCATGGGTCATCTTTTCTCTTTTACCTCGTTAGTATACACTACTTACTATATTACGAATATCAGATAATTCAGATTGTTCCTTTTATCAACAGGGATCTTAATTAGTCACTAGTGGTTGTTTGATGGTAGGTAGATGGGGGTTGCGAGAAAGCAAAGTGCGATTCTATTTGATTTCGCTCCCGCTTAATCATCCCAGAACTGAGTACATTTCCACCGCTCCTGCTCATCGAGGCAATGCAATGTATTCTAGCGATGTTGAGCCCTTTCAAATTATAGATTTACATTCACGTTTCTCGACTCCAGCATGATGCTTCTACCGCTACATGCATAGTAAGTCCCGACTCTTCCGCTTCCGTACATCAGAATATATATCCGTATACAGTATTCTCCATCCCCCACACTCAAACAGTAAGATTAGCCCTCTGGAAGCTAAACCCAAAGTCCTCAAACACAGCACACTTCTCCGTAACCCCCGGATTCTCCACAATCGACGGGGGCATATCGAGAACACTGACATTCCGCTCCGCGACCTCATACTCAGGCATGTAGTATCCACGAGGTCCGAAAATCTGGTACGTCGAAGCATAGGCAGGCCCACGAAGCTTCAGCATCTCCAGATCAGGGTTGGGATTACGGGTGCGGAAGAAAGAACCGAAGATATCGTTCATGAGACGGGAATGCAGGATGTCTCGCTTGTTGTAGTATGGGGAGACATTCTTCGTCTTGCTGTTGAGAGTGCCCCAGGCAGGAAGCACATCTGCGGAGTGGCACGTGGCGTTGAAATCCGTGTTGGGGGAGCAGATGCTGGGGACATCTACGGTGGTTTGGACGTGGCCGTGTCGGACTTCGATTTCCCAGAGGTGAGGGAATGCGTGGCGGCCGCCGTGGCGGAGGAGGTAGGCTTGTGGGCAGGTCCATTCGCTGTGGGTGAGGGCGTCGGCGACGGTGTTTCGGACGCTGTCCGGGTCTGAGGCGTTTAGGGGAAAGGCGTTGGTGGCGATGAGGGATTTGATGAGGGAGGTGGGGTAGGCGTAGCTGTAGACGAGCTCGAGAGCTGCTTCGCTTGCCCCGAGGTTTGGGACGTATTGGTCGACGTAGAGGGCCGCCTCGGTGGTGACTGTTGTGAACATGGTGGGGACGCGGTTGGGGAGCCGGTTCGAGGCGAGAAGACGGTAGAATTGGTCGTCGATGATGCCGCTGTCGGTGTCGTCTACTATGGGCATTAAGGGCTCGATTGATGCGAGGATCTCGGATGAATGTAGCCAGTCGCTGGCGATGGTCTCGGTGGAGGCTGTCATGGCGGCTTCGAACTCGGTTGTGTTGTCCAGGTACCGGGTTGCTGGGACTGATCTCAGGCAGGAGATGAGGGCGGTTTCGGATGTGGTGCCGTTGCAGCCGACAGCCCCTGCGATGTTGGGAGTGACGATCTTGGTATACACCTCGCGTGTGAACCAGGGAAGGTCTACGGGGGCGGACTGCACAATGGCACCGGAGAATAGGCCATGGGCTGCGGTTGAAGAGAGCAGCGCAATGACACTCTGGCCTCCGGCGGATTGGCCAAAGATGGTGACATGGTTTGGATCTCCACCAAATGCTTCGATGTACTTGTTAACCCACTTCAATGCGAGGATTTGGTCGCGTGTGCCGTAATTGCCCGTGGTGAGGTTGCCCGTGGTTAGCCACCCTAGAGCACCGACTCGGTAGTTGACCGTCACAACAACGACGTCGTTACGGCTAGCGAAATTTCCTCCATCGTAGTCGACCATGGACGCGGTTCCACTGGTGAACGCACCACCGTAAAAGTATACCGCGACAGGCTTGCGGGTGGACTTTCTGTCGTGTGAAGAGGGCAGGACAGGGGAATAGACGTTCAGGTATAGGCAGTCCTCCGAGATACCGCCGTTGTCGAGTGTACCGAAGCCCGAAACTGATTGAATGCACGAGTCCGCCAGTTCAGTCGCGTCAATCTTCTTGGGACCTGAGTAAGGGCGTGGGGGTGCGAATCGCAGGTTTCTGACTGGCGGGTCTGCGAAGGGAATGCCTAGGAATCGAAACGAGCGCCCATCACGATAGCCAGTCATATGGTAGTCGTCGAATGAGATAGAGATCTTTGACTTGTTCACGGCTTCCCTGTCCTTGTCGGTAGTAGGAGGCACGCTGGAGGTGCAAAGGGCAGGCAGTTGTCGATCACACGGAGCGGAAATAACTTGCTTACGGCTCTGAGAGTATGCCTGACAGCCATCGGGCGAGCCTTTGGCTATCCAAAAGGAGCTATTTGCCCCCACATCCTTCGTGTAAACCAGATAGTCGAGCTGGTACCCTATCTCTGTGGCGTTGGCTTGGGATACATCCTGTAGCGGATAGAGGGCTTCGCCAATGGATGCACACCGAGATTCTGCACTGAGGTATGGCAGTCGGTCGTAGACCAAGACTGCGGCGGTGCCATTGTTGCCTGGGGCCAAGTTGTTATACTTCAGAGCTTGAAGGGTACCCAGAGAATCAATGCTGGGATGGGATCTTGCATCTGCTGGCGGAGCTGGGGCCGCCAAAGCAGAGCCAAAGAGAAGCAAAGAGCCCACGATAGACTGAAGCTGCATTGTCACAGACTTTGGCTACCCAGTGCACGCAAGAACAAACCACCAGGAAAGGCAGCAGCCGTTTTTAAAACCTTCATCGCTGCCAAGAGAGGTGGCCGAGAAATCTGGGCTTGGGACCATCAGTTATTCGGGATGGCCGGAAGAACACTTCTTTGAGTCAGTCGAGCGACAGAAACTGCCATAGATGGAGCATACACAGCCAAATCGGTACTGGCGGAAGCTGGGGTGCATTGATGCTAGAACTGCGGAAGCTGGGGCATCGGTTGTTCCTGAGAGAAGATTCCATTTATCTAGCCGAGGCAGCCAATATGAATGGCTCTCTCGGCAAACAACCACCGGAACCTGCTTCCTTGGCACGCGGCTGCCAACGGTTGATCAACGATGATGGCTAGAGGTGTGGAGGCAGTGAAAATCAAGGATCGTATGAGTCTAAATGGAAAAGAAGAACGAAGAAGCTCCCTCACAGGAGCAATCAGTCAGGTTACCAATTTTCGCCTTTACATTCTCACAGATCCGGCTTAGTGCTCCCTGAACGTCCTAGCCCTATGTTCTGGTGTGCAGCTGATAGCAACGACTCGGATCCGCGATAAGAATGATGTGCCACCCATTCACCACGTTGGTGATCGAAACATAGCATCGTAAGTGTCATAGATTTCTGTGGTTATCGGAAATGTTGTTCTGTAAAGTGCATAATGGTTGCGATGTTGCTGTAAGCACTTCTGGGCTAGTATGGCTCCTTCGCGTTATATAGTAGCGGTGTTCCAAGTACTGGCGCTGGTACTTGAAGCGCGAAGTACATCAAACTTCTTGATGAATTGTTCTGCTATAGCGCTTTGGTAGGGTTTGAATGACTTGGACACCAAATCAATTCAAACTTGTTAGCTCGCCAGGTTCATGTGTTCCGAGGTTATTGGAAGCCTTAACTTTGTGCTGCCAACCGTAGGTGTAAGTGCATATAAACAAGTGTGTGTTTGTGAAATGCACTGATCCATTCCGTCGCGATCGCGTGGCCAATTCAAGCAATACTGCCTATGCAAAGGCTTCCAGGCGACAGGAAGCCAAAGTGTTTACAAGTATGGAGAGGACTAGAGTAGTGTTATAGATTAGGTGATTTTGCTACCGAGAAACATGATTTGTAGGGACACACCAATCAGTCCAGTGTAACCGTCCATGTGAATTATGAGCCACACTGATAGCCTCGAGAATGAGAGTATCTAGAAGAGAGCGTGACTTTCGAAATGCTGGAAAGTCAGATCATAAACGTAAGGTGCAAGTGCAGTTGGCTATATGTATGAAGAAGTAGAAAGAAGAGACAACAGTAAGAGTTCACGCACATTCACAACCCAGAATCAGGAAATATGCGGGAATAAGAAAGGTTGGATTTTTCTTTAATGAGGACAGGTACAGGTTCACACTTACCGTATAGTAACTTCGCTGGAACTAATAGAGATAAGGTGTGCTTGTTGCTTAGACACTACAGGGCTAGAGGCAAAAATGGGGGCTACAATAGGCTTCAGTATACATGGAAAAGTTGTCAACAAAAAGGTAGCGCACCGGATTCACTTCACTGACTAGTAAGGATATATGGGGGAGAGTGACTCAGGGAAAAAACTGGTAAGAATCGGTGGGTCGGGGGACCAGTTAGTCTGCAGAGGTGAACTGTTTGTTACTTTCGGTAAAGTAGGAAAGGTTTACGAAGATGGAGAGGAGGTATATGAATATCATCTATAGAAAGTAAGGAACAGTATGAGATGGTGAGAGCCTCATGGGGTGCGGATGCGGGAAGACATGACATAGACCAAAAAGGGAAGGACCCGAATAGCTTCACCACCACCAGCATCCCACCACACCCACCAATTCACGCCCCTCAAGGGAAACTAGGCCGCCAGAATCAATACCTGGGCAAATAGGCCACCCAAATTACCCTTTTTAGAATGAAAAAAGGGAACAGACAAGGGAAGTTCTGGGAAGTAATCAGTAACCAAACCCAGGGTAACCGAGTGGCTTAAAGCCGGGCCCGTAGTTCTGCCTGTCCCTTAGGCCGTGTAGAACCAGAGACACTCGGCAGTCCTGGGTACGATTCCGGGCATGGGCGAGCTGGCCCTTGACACGTAGCACGTAGGCTCAAGAACGTGCCATCGTCATGCTGGAAATCGTCTGCAAAAACCGCACTAAGCGGTTTTCGTAGCCTCCTATGGGTTGGCAACCCATAGATGCAGGTGAGCTTTTTGCTTTTTTGTATAGATAGATATGTCCCCTTCTTAGTTGCGCGGCTAGAGACGTTTGAAAGAAAGATGCTGAAAAAGATGCGAAGAGACTCTACCCTACCAGGAACATGTTTTGATTATTCGAGGGTTTGTGCCTGATTCAGGCAAACATTTACAATTCACCGTTGGGGGTTGTATTTTCCCATGACTCTTGTCTATTGTTGAATGCTTTCATTCAGTTATTGACGAATAATTCGGACATAAATCCATTACTGTCGTTTGATCTGCTGCTTAGATAGAAGATGCTGGTGACGGCTAATATATTAGACGTAAAATGAAAAAGACTAGTATAACAGATATTGATCTCGGACATATCTGCAGTAATAAGACGATGCTTGAAGTTCCTTCAACTTACTGAATTGATCAAAGAAGCTGGATATAATCTACTCACAGAGCAGCTGCAGGTTTAGACGTGGACTGCTGGGCAAGAGAGGAAACAAATTACACAAGGTATTGACCCCCCCCGAAGCAGAATGACTGTTGGTTCCGAGAATTGTGGAGGTTAGGGGGTTGAGAAGGTCAGGCGGAGATTACTGTGTCTTAGTTGGTTCGCATTTTCCTTTTCTTATCCATATACCATCCATTGTATCTTCGACTGCAGTCTCAATACCGATCCAAATGACCCCAACGCTGGATCAGTCCAGTTGTCATTCCCCAAAATTTTAGTATATAGTTGATATGTTTGTCTTTATATAGCACGTTTTGTGATTGGGTGATGAGAGTCGTAGGAAACCCAAAACGTACGGGATCTAGAAACTGGCTCCTTGCAGTCGGGCAGCAGAACACGATACAATAGGTACTGCTCTTTGTTTACTTTGGATCCTGAGCGCAGATCAAGCCAGGTCAATAATGTCTTGCCGATGACATTGTATGTCTTAGCCGCTGCTGTCCACTCAGCTTTGTTTTTGGGGCATGTAAAAGGCATAATATAAGCAACCAAAGGGCAATTATGATAGTAATAAGAATGAATGCTACTTTGCATAGGAAGAAAAATCCAAGTATTTGACATTCGTATAAGAGAAGAAACATAAAATATAATAACTATTAAGTATTGAGTGCTCTGTAGTAGGTTGTTGTTGTTACACAAGTAAATGCAGAAACCGCATAAGGATAAACGCTTGGGGAAAGCACGGTGGAGGACATAGTTGTACTCACCCCCGGTCTCCAAAGGACGGCTCAGGTAAAGGCGAAGAAAAAATTCAACTGGCGCGCTCTTCTTCCATTAAAAGCTGTATAGTTTTGACTGTCTAATGACCAGCTTTTCTTGGACTATACATGCAGTAAGGATTCTTGCGTGTTGAGGAAGAACAAAAGCGAAGAGAAGTACAGGAAAGTACTCTTCATTAAGAAAGAGATATGGATATCCTTCTGTCCCTTCACCATCGTTTTCCATAAGCCTCCACTTCTCTGTCTCTGAATCTACCTTGCGCTGGTTTGCGCGGCCTCGCACAGCAAAAACTAAGGCACTGAATTCAGAGAAGAGTATGGAGTCTTCCCGAGCTTCCTTCGTATCAATGAGATGAATAGCCAGATGAGGATAGGCTTGCCCATCAACAGGCCTTGGTTCTGGCTCTAAGACCCTGGAAGCAGACCACCAATCACGCCCCTTACCGTAAGGACATGTGAGATCCGTTTCCAACCAATAGGTACTGTCTGGTGCTCTGACGCAAAATGTTAGCAGAAGCATGATGTTTGCCATGGAGTGATATTATTTGCAAGGAGCGTACTGAACAAATGAAGCCCTTGATGAATCATTACCTCACGGGTCGCACGATCATGGATAAGGCTAGCTATCTGGCTACAGCGGACTTTGGGCGACAGTTTGCCGATGAACTGATCAATGTTCGCAAATCCGCGTATCTCAGGATAGGATTTCCGTAATTGAGTTGACTCCATAGGACGAAAAGAGACCGGAGGAAAGATTGTAGAACAAGTCTGGGGATTGTCCAACTGCTCAAAGTCAAACCGAATTACATGTTCGACACACTTAAGATTGTGGAAATTCACATGACCATCGGTAGGCACATATCCTCTAAGTTCCATGACTTTGTCAAACAGATTGTCGAGACCACGGCGAACCCTCGAGACAGTTGACAGCATCGACAATGATCTTTGAGACATCGCGTATGTCTTGTGTTGGTGTGTGCTTGATCTGGTATACCCGAGAAAAATATTGTAGCCTTGTATCCTGGGACAGGTAAATAAGTGGATCATGCAAGATTGAGGGGCGTGTAAGTGCTTTCTTTTCTGTGTGATGTGAGTTTGTCTCCGTCAGCGATGGTATCACGTGGACAGCTCTTTGTGTAATGGAAATTGTCCAGCAGGAGCCACAAGGTGTCTTATTTAACTGTCAGCATCGAGAGTATAGCCCCCATACTATTTTATTCAGAAGATCACTATAGTCGATCTAATCAGTAAAGCGAACAGTTTGTTCGGCATCTCCCGCCTAATAGAGGCAGTAGTGGAAATAATTTTGTAGTAGCTGACAGTATTCCATGGGTAGAACTGAAAAGTAGGGGAGAGCACCTTTTCATGCTAGATGGACCTAAAGCAACTCCCGTGATTAACTAACCATATGAATTTTATTAGATTAGAGGATTCATCAGAAAGAAGAAACGGAAGGAATGTTCCTGAAGGGTTCTATCCTTTCCTTTTGGGGTCCAAGCTACTATCAGCTGAGATACTCACTCCCTGTCCAGATAACTAACAACTAGTTCAAGAGCAGTGACTGCT